ATAGAAATGGTATTTAATTACACACTTTGGGGGAATTCGCTATTTACAGCTAATTAAGAATTTAGACGATGCACAAGTGTGTAAGCATTTGGTGTATTTATACCTTTAGTTTAGAATGTATTTTGAAGCATCGGGAAAGGTAGACATTCTCTCAGCTCTATTTATAAATAAGAAAACATTGCGATAAAAACTGCACGCATTTGCGGTTTGCACAATTCAACATTTTTCTATTTATTCCTTTATTGTACATAAATATATATTCCATTGCGAATTTACTTTGTAAAAATAAAGTTACATTTCTGTTGTAATAGTTCTGATTGACAAGACCGCTTGACGCCAGATGGCAAAGGTTAACATAGATAATTTTCTGAAGAAGCAAACGCAACAGCAATAAGAAAATCATGATGACCCTGAATTATCCGTTTTTTGTACAGATATAAACTTCACACATATTTACTTGCATATACCATACATATCGATGGTCCTTTGCAATTACGACACAACTCAAAACCAGTGTTGCCAGTTTAGCGTAATTCTCACCAGATTTGGGGTGATTCTAGGCCAATTAGGGATACAATATCTTTAGTGATTTTCTTAGGGATATTTTCAATTATCAAAATTTTATTTTTTTTTTGTTCTTAGACGAAACAACAGTTATAATTTCCTATAATAGTCTAATAAAGCTTTCAGTTTTTATTAATTTTAATTGCAATTAAATTAATTTTAAATAAGTTAATTTAATTACATTTTATTTAAATGCAATGTGTAATTGAAGTTTAATTGCAATTACTTTTTTAATAAATTCCCAAGTGGGTTGAAAAATCAATTGATTAACCCCCAACGCTGCTACATACCCGAGCTACTAGTATCTAGCAACCTTGGACACCTACAAACTATATATATTTAGGACTCTCTGGCAACACTGCTCAAAACTCATGAGCCACTTGAAGGTGCTTATAATTAAAGTCTTTTCCTAATAATAAACAAACCGCTTATCCAAATTAAACAAATTTGGTATCAAATGAAAGAGGACGTAAATAGCTGTTAAACAGAAATAACGAACGAAGGTTATTTTTATTTTTATAATTTAATACAAAAGAAATTCATATACCTGACCCAAGGTTTGTTCTATGGTATTTAAATAACATTTTTTATTGCAATATTTTTCAATAGCTGGCTTTACGCTGGCTTTCCTCGTTTAAACATTAAAATATTGCAACGTATTCAGGGAATGCAAGGCATTTCAATGCACTCTTAACCAGAATTAATAATTTTGAATAGGGTTGCCAAATATTTAAAAATTTAAATCACTATATGAGCTGTTTTTCTGTTGGGTTTGTCTCTGGCCAAGGCAAATTGAAAAAAATTTCCGAATGGAAAATTCCGGATAAATTGATCTATAGAAAATTTTATACACGACATTTTTTTATTTCTTTAATTTTGATCGTAATATTACCATTTAAATGGTTGTACAGGTACAAAATTGTATCTATGCTAAACAATTATTTAGATTAGAGTGCGTTGTAAATTATTTACCATTCCATTTACAATTGCTAGATTTGAAATATGTATTATGGTATTTTGATTAAAAATAAAAAAAATTACCTTATTATTTTTATTATTTACCATAATAAGCACAATTCTTGAAGAATGCCCATAAAGGCATTAATTAGGCAGTTAAAGGATTTCATCTCAAATAATTCTATGTATACTGGATTTATGTGGACCAACGATATTCACCCATTTCGAACTTGCCAACAACTATGCTATACAGATTCACCCTCGAACCAGATCAATAAACAATTGGGAATTATTATTGAAAGTCTCTTGAAGAGAACCAGAGTTTACTGATCGAAAAATATTGACTTTCAAGAATTCTATACCATTTCTACGAAAAAATTTATTTTTCCCATATAAAAATACATGGAAAACTTTGAGCGCTTTGAGCGACCTCTAAATATTTTTTTTGGTTTCGGTTTCGATATAGAACAATCCTAGGGGGTGAGAGCGTTACAATTTCGACTTTACTGTTTTTGGACCACCCTAATGTACATACAATATTTTCTTACACAGCTGCGACAGGTGTTCACACTAAGCTTGTTCGAGATTTATTGTATGTAGGTACCCAACAAGCAAAATAAACTTAAAGAAAGCTTTTTTTAAGTTTTCAATTATAAACATTAAGCTTACAAAACGTTGATTTTTTGTTTATAAAACGCTTGGAAGTAAGCGTAATATAATCGAAAAGGAACATTGGTTATAAGCGTAGAAATATAAACTTGTAATAAATGTTCAAAAGAAAGCTTTTGATAAGCGTAAAAGTGTAAACTTATAATAAAGGTTCAAAAAAAGTTTTTTATTAGCGTATCAATATAAACTTACTAAAAATTTTCAAAAGAAAGCTTTTTATAAACATTTTTATAACCCTTTATTTAAAGATATTTCATTAAAAACTCATACATAGATTGCTTAACATCTAGAAACTAAACGAAATGCGAATTTTCGGCGGACTCATCTACAGTCGCGAAAATATAAATAGGGAATAGACATTTTAGCATACAAATTCACAATAACACATACAAATTAAGCATAAAAAAGTTAATTATTACATCTTGTTGCGTGCTTTCAATTACTTGCGGTTATTGGCAAATTGGAAAAGCGACATCGATGCAGCTATATATTCCGCTTCATCGCCGCCATTCTCATTGATGAACTTTTCTGAAAAAAATTTAATACATTTTTAATTGAATGTTAAACTAAGAAAGGATAAGGGGAACTCATCATTTGAAGACTCGAATGCTCCACCGATTAGCGCAGCGGGTCCTTGATTGGATTTTCTTGTTTTACCGCATTGGTTTTATTTAATTTTTTCTTTTAATAATATATTTAAAAAACGTAAACATGTTACGATTGAAAAAATTTTATATTTACTACTTCATGTCGTTGACATTTACATTTCATTTATAAGTTTAAGTTATTTATAAACATTCGCTCTCAAAACTTATTAAAGGTTTATTTGAAAAAACTTTTAATAAGCTTAATATTAAAAATGCTTATTTAACGCTTATTATAGCAAACTTAATTTAAGTTATTTTTAAAAACGTTTACTGAAATGCTTGGGATATGTACATACACACACACATATCTATGCGTTAGTATTTAGATATGTCGCCATATCAATCAATGCTCGATTTAACTGAACAAGGCCCTTACCATTTTCCATTGCTTAATATTCGGATAGCTTGGTTTGTGTTGCATTCCAACCTATAGCAAAATCCAAACTTTAATCATACTCTGCGTCTCTTAAAGACTACGAGATATTAATTCACATCTTAACGATGGCCCTGAAAGCATTTTCTATGTAAAATTTGCTTCTCCAGTAAAATGAAAAATTTGTTGTTTAGAGCTCTTTGCATTGACAATGACGATAGGTACCTTATATACATATATTGTATGTATTTACATATCTTTTATATGGCTCTAACGGAACTTTGATGACACTAAAAAACCACAGCAGTACTTAAGAGAAGCTCGTTTGTTTATTTTATGATATGCCTTCTAGTTTCTTTTGTCTTTATTAATTTCTTGTGCCATTCTGTAATTTGGACTAGTGTAACATGAGCGAGCGCTCATTATAAACATAATGAATTTCGAAAACATCATCAGCAATGACGTCAGCTTACGATTTTGGTTAACTGACGGCAAATGCAAAACATTAAGTCAAAATGAATATAAATTACACGCAAACTACGAGGAGAATAAGAGTTTCGATGCAACTTCGGTTATTAGTAGGGATGAGTAATCTTTTGAAACAAAAGAATTATGTACATAAATACATATGTACATATACATGAATGTATATATGTATGTATGTATATATATGGCTTGTTTGCTTTTGATTCATTTCTTTGAACGAAATATAACCTAGGTGGAAGGTTTATTTTCTGTTTACATTTATTTAACGAATCCATGTTTGTGCATATGTTGCTTGATTTACGTTGCAATTAATTAAAGCTTCTTTTAAGGAAATGCAGTCATCATTATGCACTGTTACTCACAAAATTGAGCGTGCGGCTCTTTTTTGTTAATATTCGCAATGTTTTACATGCAAAAATTTTTTTTTTTTAATTTTGTATTAAACCATGGCTTATATTTTAACAAACCCCGGTTAAATTCAATAATGGTACTGTGTACGAAAATTATGAAAAATCTGCAAAATTGCGAACTTTTTAATACGAATTTCTAAAAAAAATACAGGTATGCAGTTTTATAGTCCATTAAATTTTAGTATAATAATGTGCAAATTTCAAATGTCTAAAAATTCGCGTTGATTTTTGAAATTTTTTTTTTGCTGACTGTCCTACGCATTTTATTCCTTATAAAAAAATAAATATGTATATGTATGTACATTTGTAAACGTTGCTCTATTTGTACAAAATTTCTGTGCGAATTGGTCGGACTCATTAAAAGTAACACAATCGGCTAAGATTCGGTATTTCGCTTAAAAATTCGAAACTTCGATTTTGCCCGCAATAATTTCAGTAGTATTTGGCTTATATTTTTGTAAAAACGGCTTGCATAGTTTTGATCCCGATTATGAAAATCATTTCATTCAAGTACAGAAATAAATACATATGTGTATTGTAAGACCAAGGTGTCCCAAAAATTTAATTTTTTTTTTAATTTTTAGGTATTAAATTTTAGTACAATAACATGCAAGTTTCAAGTGGCTAAGAATTAACATTGATTTTTTGCTGACGCGGGGGTGAGCCGCGGTGCTTCATTTATTTCATTATAACATAATTCTGGCCCAGCAAAATTGACGGAATTATTTTTTTTAGTAATATTCGATGAAACGCTCCAAGGCGACCAAGCAGGGGGCTGGCTAGCAATAGGCATTACTCCCGCGCTTCTCACGCCTGCTGCGCTCTAGCAGATCTTTTTGTGACCGTTTTTAACTACGACTACAACAATTTTTTTGGCTCTTCTTTTTGTTTCAGCGTCAACAAAATTACCACATTGCAACCATTTGAAGACTGCCACAAACTTCAGGAATTATATTTGCGTAAAAACAACATACAGGATATTAATGAAATCGCTTATCTGCAAAGCTTGCCTGCTCTCAAATATTTATGGCTGGAGGAGAATCCGTGCTGTGATCGGGTTGGGCCCAAGTGAGACTCAGATACATAGATTGTTTGAATAGAACCCCAACATCCCAAAATGCATAAATATTTTCCCTTTTTTTTCTAGTTACCGCCAAACAGTGCTTCGCGCCCTGCCAAATCTGAAGAAGCTGGATAATGTTGAGGTGACACAGGAGGAGCTCGATGAGGCTTTGCGTGGTGGCGGCGGCGGCAGCGGCAGTGGTTCCGGCGGGACGCGAGAAGAGGAGGACGTGTACGAGGATAGCTATGCGCAACAACAGCCAACACAGCGTTATGAACAGCCCTCACCTCCTCAGCAGCAACAACAACAACAACAACAACAACATCTGCAGCAATCACAACAAAATCAGTACCCGCCACAACACAGACAACAACAACAACAACCACAAGCGGCGTCACAGTACCAACATAATTCGTCACCGCAACAATATCAGCAGCGCCGCAGTTCGAGTCCAATGAAAGAGGTAATTTTATGAGAAGGATATAACTCTGATTGCTATGCATATCTTCACCACCGCAAACAAATCGATTTCAACACTTGATTCATATGCAGCACTTTGATCATTAGTGTACATATGTATGTACTTGCATACATATCGTTACCTTAATTCAAAAAGGCCCTAATCAACCTTGTTTCACGAAACTGCTTTTACAGATTTTGGTACACCTTCAATAAAAATTTTAAAGTGTTACATCCCTGCAAACCAAAGTTCCCGAAATCTTAACGAAATCTTTAGGAGTATCTGATTTCTGTAACGATTTTTTTCCGAATCTTCAAAGAAAATTATATGAAGTGGTTGACACGAACTCGTAAAGAAATTTCTGTACGAAAAATAAAGAAAATTCTGAAAAAAGTCTGCAAGAAATTCTTCACATAGCAGCATTATTTTCATTTCTTCACCGATTTTCCTCCGAAATTTCGTAAAATAATGGAAGTGTGCGTAATTTATTTCATTTTAGAAAATTCGGAAAAAAATTGGATGGGATCTTTCCGAATTCGTTAAAATTTCTTTACGTTTCAGAATACTCTGAAAAAATGGTTTGCAGGAATGCCACTTTTTCGAAAGCCCTACCTGTTCGTGATACTATTTTTATAATGTTTCTTGCTTCTCTAAAATAAAAAAAAATTTTTGGTTAGTGCCTTTGTGAATTAAGGTAACGATATGTGGTATTGATTAGTGTAGTAACTTACCTTCAGTTAACGGGCTTGGTATGCTGATGAAGCAGAATTTCGTTTTGCGAATTTCTTTCGTTTTCTAGGTATTCGAAAAATAGGCAGTAGTTGGGTTTATTTATGGAACTTAAAATAAAAAAAGGTTCGAGATTTTAGTTTATTGGCGCGATGGTCGTCCAAAGTAGCCGCAATCGATTTCAGTAAAGAGTGGTGGTCTTATAATTCAAAACTAACCAAAAAAAAAAACTCTGTATTTGGGAGACTGTTCCCTGTAAAGGTTTCCTAATTATGCGGCTACTACTCTTAGAATTGATACGGTTGTACATATATATACGTACGAATGTATAGTAGAATATACCGTGATCATTCGCAGCTTCAAGCACTTATTGAATTGTGTAGAAATAAATTGATTGCCAAATTTTCTTGAGTATATATTAATATGAAATTCTCGTTTTTTTTCACTACAAATTAGTATTTCGATTTGCGAAAGTATTTTAAGATCTATTTTAACTTACTAATAACTAATTCTAATTTAAATTCACGCTTACAATACGGACATCGCGCACAAACAAAACCCCTTGAACTAATCTATTTCTGAAATACTAAAAAATTAATTGCACCTCTGCTACTAATATCAACACTGTAATCAATCAAACGAAGCCCTCGCAACAAAACAGTCCGGCAAATACAGAGGAAAGCGCCAGCGAGCCGAGCAAAAGCAATGAGGTATCGAAACCAGCCTCACCCGCACAGGTATTTCGTGCTCCCAACTGCATTCATGTATGTAGCGTTAATGCTTTCGTAAATTATTCTGCAATTTTAAAAACTTTGAAAATCCAAAAAAAAAAAAACTGCGAAAAAATTTTGCAAAATTTATTTTATGTTTCCTATCTGCCCTATTCTGGCTTTCACAAACACTTAAATAGTATGGTTTTTGCTTTTCTAACTAGAAATGGTGCATCTTTTGAATTTTACTCAATTTTAATTTGGAAAATTTACTCGATTTGTGAAAACCAGAACAGCTGGTCTAAAAATGAATTTGAGAAGTTTAAGCGAAATCGAAACCCGCAACTTTTTTTTTGAATTGTGTTACCCGCACCAACTCATTAAATTAAACCACCAAATCAACAAAAACATCACTACTAATGGACACTGTACTAATTAATTTTCATTTTGCAATTTTGCTTACGTCTTTATTCTGACACCACCGTCAACACCCATTGCACAGGAGCCAGTTGCTGCGCATACACCTTCACCGAAATATAATTCATACACGAACGTGAATCGGTTGTCCTATCATCAAAATGATGTAAGAACATTGGTAGCTGCGATTATTTTTTTTTTAAATTTTTTACGTAAACTGAAGTCTCTCAAAAGCTCTAGATCCATTGACTACGAGTACCTACCCATTTTGAATGTATTTCTAATTTACATACAATCATAGCTAGCCTCGGACTGTGATGAGAGTCTAGCGATATGCGGAAAGTCCATGGGATATTTGAACCATTTTTTTTGCGACGGGGAATCATAATTTTCTTGTACCTATTCAATTGTTTGCAGATAGAGGCGTCAGTATGTATTCGAACGGAGTCTCTAAATTCTGCTGGTTCGTAACCAAGAGCATAAGAGGGAGGTCCACAACAAGGCATTGCACTGTGTTTCCTTCGGATTAGTACGCGACCGGAGAAAAGCACTATAATGACCGATGTTTGAACACACATTGGAAACGACGGGCCATAGGCCACAGTTTTCAATTTTTTAGCATCGTTATCTAAACGCCTTGTCAATGGCGATATGAGTTTTTTGAATGTGTCAGCGAAATCATTAATTTGTATGAATTTGACATAAAATAAGAGAAAGAGTAGTGTCAAGGAGTTTACATTTTTGAAGAAAATATAGTCTAACGGGTCTATAATATTCATCTCTGACTATGGGAGTCTATTTTTAAGGATGTTAAAACTAGCGCGCTAACGGATTCGGCTATCCGCTCCTATCCGCTCTCTGAGAGTCATTTGCATTTATCGATTGTGAATATGCCACTGTCGAGTGTCACGCGATTTTTCGGCAACATTTCATTTGCAAGCGTACATAAACATAAGTATGAAGGTCCATACATAAATTAAAACATGTACATATGTATATATGTACGTTTTTCAGTGAAATTTGTGTTATGAATTCATGGCATGAAATATGCGAGGAGGACTCTACTTGTAGGTGAACTGAATAGGCAGGTGGCATGGGCTGGGCAAAGACAAGTTGTCATACATCCGCTTAGTAGAGAGAAAACAATTACATATTTATGTATGTCATTGTGCTCGTAGTCAACGGCTCTCAGCTTATATTAAGCACTTTGACGCACCCTTTATCTAAACTAACCAGCAATTTTTTGTTATGTATTTTTTTGCACTCAAACACCGAAATCGTAACTCCAACAAATTTTAACACACCACATACATACCTTCGCTCAACTGCGCGGCGGCTATACGAAATTGCATTTGACTAACAAATTGAAACTTTTGGTAATGAATAACAGCGCTCTCCGGGCTCGGATCAGGATAGTCCGCATGTTGGGTACCGGGAGCGTGCGCCTATCCCACCTAGCATATCTACACAATCGATGAAGGTAAGTTAAGGTTGCGGTAATACTAATACGATTATTAATCCTCACTTCAGTTATTTTTTGGTATTTTTAAAATCATTCATTATTATTTTTTTTTTTGTGCGAAAATAGTATATTAAATTTACGTATGTACAGAGGCTTTCAGCTACGTTATTTTTGTTGTTGAAATTTTTTCGTATTTGCATATGCGTTGCTATTCCATTCTGCCATTTTTTTCTTTGGGCAGGAATACTACCAGTCTGATCGTCCGTCATATCCTGCCCATTACCGTCATAGCCAAACCGATTTGACTGAGTGGGAGGAACAGCAGCAGCACAATCAATTTGGCAGCACTGCTGCATTGCATCATGCCGGCAGTGGTGGTCCGCGTCGAAGTGAGGTCAGTGACCGTTATGCTTATCGCAATGGCAGCGCGCGTGAAAATGGCGGCGATTGGGATGACGCGGAGCGACCGCGAGCCAGGTAATGAAGTGATTTGTGATTTTTTCTTGAATTAGTGGTGTAAATTAATTATATGCATACATACTATTTCATTATAGGCGGCCCGATGGACGTTACAGTGACTCAGCTAGCACCGTTTCAACAGCTGTACTTAATCATTATTCGGGCTATCATAGGCGCCCCATAAATCGGGTAAGTGTGAAAAATGAAAACACTTGAGGAATTTTTCGATTTGTAGAAATAATACGGCTGAAATTTCAAGCTTCACGAAACAAGCTTACCAAATTTCCATTGAAAAAATTTATAAAATAATTTAATTTTTTTTTTCAAATTTTCAGAGTTCGAATTTGCTATCGGCAACTTTGTGTCTCGTCAAAGAGCTGGACTACCCGAGCTTAGAGGTGGTGGAGCACGCCGTGCGTTGTCGCATCGATGAACTGTCGGCAGACTGATGATGAATGCGCCGCATGCCGTCCTGTTGAGGAATGCGGCGGCAACCGTGAGACGGACACGCTGTACAGTTGCCAGTGTCACTTCGAACACACAAAAAAAAACAAAAAAAAAAAAAAAA